TTCCTGCCAGAAATTTGATTCAATTCATGTTTTTGTATTTGTGTTATCCACGTAATTTTCCCTGTTTGATCGGTGCAGTGCAGTAAAAGAGAGTATGGTGGCGCCGGTGGTTTCGTTTCCGCACGCCTCTTTGAGTATGCGCAGCTCCAATAGCGATAGTAAGAGATTTGGCATTAATACTGTTGGCTCCAATTCCATGAGATGCTGCTTTCCAGCTTCTTCAGTTAATGCTTATATTGCAACCAGAAATAGAAGGATTGCGTGTGCATGTGTCGCCCCGCCTCAGGACCTCTTCTCATCCAGATACATTGTTAGTCTCACATATTTGAAGTTTGTCTCATTTTTTTTTAATGATATTTTTCTGTTTTATTCAAAGTTTAACGTTCTTCAGTTCTTGTCCCCGAGCTCCTAAGGCGACCACAACCTTTTTTTTTCTCTTTCTAAAATTACGCTTTGGGACGACTAGCCATGTTCCAAAAAACTGTCTTTTACCAAGTCCAACACCTCCTCCCCCCTCCTGCAAGCCCCTTCAACTTTTTTGTGGTTTTATCATCTCTTGGTTTTGCACTATACCTAATACTATAGTATGCTATGGGAATGAAATGAATACTGAAGCTGCTTATGTCCAGTTCTTTAACTCTGAAACTTAATATGATTAGTTGGCTTCCATTTCTTAGCTATAGTGTCAAAGTATCATACTTTTTATTGTCTTTCTATAATGGAATTTGTTTGCTTCTTTGTTACTACAGGGTCCTCATAACATAGCAACCTCAAATATCAAGAAGGACGAAGAAAATGAGTCAGATGTCCTTATTGAATGTAGAGATGTATATAAATCCTTTGGGGAGAAGCACATACTAAGAGGCGTGAGCTTCAAGGTGACATTATTGATTATGGCTATTACGTACTCCAGCAAATTACTTTAATATGGACTACAAACACATAATACATGGTCTGTACCAACACTTGTTGAATTAATCGTCATGTTTCTTATTTCTGGGTGTGGGGGAATGGGAGTGTTACTATGTTTCTATTTAACTTTAAATTTTTTTCTGTCTTGTTGGTTTAATTAATCAAATCATTGTCTTACATTTTAATCTGATTCCCGTATCGGATTATCTTTGCCCTGCTCCTGAATTTCAATTGGAAAAAGTATCATTCCTTTGTAGATTAGGCATGGAGAGGCTGTTGGAATTGTTGGTCCATCTGGGACAGGTAAGTCAACCATCTTGAAGATTATGGCTGGGCTTCTTGCGCCAGACAAGGTATCATTTTAGTTCTTTTAGTTTTCTAATATTTGTTATCTTCAACTGATTTAGTTCTGCAAGAATGGAATCCAGCATTACTACTATCTACGTGTTATCTTTTAACAATTTTGTTTGTTGAATAGGGTGAGGTTTTCATCCGAGGAAAAAGGCGACATGGCTTGATCAGTGATGAAGAAATATCTGGTCTTAGAATTGGCCTGGTAAGAATATATACTTGCGTTTTTAGTTATTGCAGTTGTTCTAAGCAGTTCTTGAATATCTTCCTGTGTAATAGGTGTTTCAGAGTGCAGCACTTTTTGATTCTCTGACTGTTCGTGAAAATGTCGGTTTTTTGTTGTAAGTAGTAAGAGTCCTCTTTGGAAATGTTAGTAAGCCTGTTGTTACACTGTTAACGAATATATTTGAGCAACTATGATTCTTATTATTCGTTAAACGTTTAATAATGTTACAGGTATGAAAATTCTGCTATGCCTGAAGACCAAATTGCCGAGCTAGTGACAGAAACTTTGGCTGCTGTTGGATTGAAGGTATGAATTAATGAGTATTTTGTCTGAAAATTATTATTACTGTCCGGTCGTGACTTTTCAAGTTATGAAGGCTTACAATAGCGGCTTATCTTACTAGTTACGAACAAACAAGTAATAGCTGCTCAGGTACTTGATGCTTACATTGGTCCTCTTTAATTACAATTATTGGGGTCCTGGACTGAATTATCAAATATGCCCATGTATAATAAAGTATCCTTTATATAAAGCTTAATATGCATCTTGTGAGAGAATAGAATCGGCACTATTTATCAAATTTTCTATATTTTCTTTTACTGTTCAGGTTAAAGATACTTGAGTTGAAATGACCAGGGAAATTGCTTGGAAACTAGAAGTCATTTCTATTATTTGGTGTCATCCAATGAAAGAGCTTATTCATTTTTGGGGGAAGGCAAAGTTTAGACGAGTTCTTTTTGCAGGAAGTTGAGGATCGATTACCTTCTGAATTGTCGGGTGGGATGAAAAAGAGAGTTGCCCTGGCACGTTCTATAATATTTGATACAACAAAGGATGCAGTAGAGCCTGAGGTATGACGATTCTTTGCCATGAAAACGTTTGTTTTTTATTTTCTTTTGTAAGTGATATAGTTTTTCATTATGTTGGTTCATGTCATTTTCTCCCAGCTTGGTGTAACACTTACTCTTGCATTGTGTGAAATGTAAGTATCATGACCAGTTTCCTAATGAACTACAATTGTTGGCGTGGTATGTTATATAGCTGCTAGGACGATGAGTTCAATCATAAACTAAATTGTTAAAGTCAGTAGATGATTTCTTCTGAAATTGTTGTCCACTTTCAGATAATCTCAAGGCTATATTTTGATGGTTTGGTTTTTTAGGGGATCAGTTTGACCACAATGCATTTAAGTACAATATTTTATACAATCCAGCTATCGTGACAATAATTATCTTATTCATTCTTAAATTGCGGTACTTATTGAGTTCCATCTCATAGGTTTGCTTTGGTCATCTTGCAGAAGTTTCTCACTAAGTTCAGCTTCCGTGATGATAATTACCTTCATCTTCCCTTACATTGTGGTTTTGTAATTATATTTATTGATAGTTATACTGACATATAGGTACTCCTATACGATGAGCCAACAGCCGGGCTTGATCCGATTGCATCCACTGTTGTTGAAGATCTCATTCGATCCGTTCATATGAAAGGGGAAGATGCACTTGGGAAGCCTGGGAAGATTGCATCTTATGTAGTCGTCACTCACCAACATAGCACCATCAGAAGAGCTGTTGATAGGTAGTAATAGGTTTCTATTCATTTTACTTCCTTTATGAGAAGTCATATCTTTCTAGTCTTGTTTTGCCCCTCACCATTTCGCGATTTATATAGTCCTAAAAATAAAACCATATCCAGGCTGTTATTTTTGCATGAAGGGAAAGTTGTGTGGCAAGGAATGACACATGAGTTTGCTTCATCGACAAATCCGATTGTTCAACAGGTAACTTCAATGTTTTGTCTTCTCTCTTTTCCAAAGGTGCATGCGTGAGCGCGCATTTGTGTGAACACTCAGATAGACTGACGGACACCGCAATCTGTGCATCTAGGAAAATGAGCTATCTATGACAATTGTTTTCAGTTACTATTACGACCAGTATAGCTTTCATTTGGTATCTCATTCTACAAGTGTTGAGCAAGCCAGCCTAATTTTATTACTTGTACATTGAGAAATGATTATTCATATCGGGATATTTGCTTTCTTATGCTTGATCAACTTTTTCTTTTGTTATCCATTAATGGAAAACTATCCTTGTTTATTAATTTTGGTAAGTTTCCATGTAATGTCTTTGGTCTGATGAGCAACAACTCACATTTGTAACTTATATTATCTTGCTATTTTCAACGCCTTGAGCTGCTTCTCTAATAAATTGAGTTACAATGCTTACAGTTTGCGTCAGGGAGTTTGGATGGGCCGATTAAGTATTAACAGGTGAAGCCATGCGATAAGGGTTAATGGAACAAGTTGAGATGGTGCTTCAATTGTGAAGAACTCTTGCCATTCATTATCATAATCCTAGTGAGGCAGGAGTGCTTGCTGCTAACAGATGAGTGGTGGAAGCTTCTGTTTCGGGTTTTATTTGCTCTGTAAGGGAGTGTTGGGACGTTTGATCCTTTGTTTTTTCTATACCGACTGGGTTCTGTGCGAGAATTTCATTTCGAGGATTTACTTGTTTTAATGTTGACATTCATACAACTTGCAATATTTTAGCATTACTCTGTATCTTGCCATAAATGGTTTGGGAGTTGTGGGCTCACTTGTCGAAAAGCTTAACTGGGACTCAGCTATGTTCCTACATGTCTTGATGACAGATGTTGTCGATAGGCGGAGGCAAGTTTCATTTGAGATCGACGTTCGTGTGTGGGACAATGGATGACGTCGCGAGGTGCGGATTCGAGGGCGATTTTTCTCCAACGGAGGGAGAATTATGGAGACGAGATATCGTCTAACATCATTGATTTATGATATATATTTATTTCCATTTACTTTTATTATTATTCCTTTTATATTTAGTATTTAATTGGTAAGGAAATATTTGTTATTCTTATTGTTGGTACTAAAATATTTAATAAAAGATCTTGTCTTGTTGAATTTAGAATAGAGTTTATGAGTCTTATTTAGAAGACTCGTCCTTTGTGTTCTTTAGCAATTGATTATGAAATAAGAATTAAGAATTGATATTGTGCTTAAGTGTTCTTGAAATTGTCATTTCATTAATATCGTCCCATTTGTACATTTTTCTACATTAGTTATATAGTTTTCTATAACTCGACTATAGTTTTGTATAACTCGACTATAAACGAGTTGAATTCAAACTTTGTTTGTTAACGAACCTAGCCAACAGAAGTTTTAGTTCAAACTCAAACTTGTTTATACCTAAAGGCAGACCAATGGAGTTAGAGTTAAAAAATAAACGAAAAGGAGCATATGATTGATCTAAAACAATATCTATATCTATATATTATAAAAAGGTTTGATATTTACCTGAAAAAGTAACTAATTTTCCGCCTAAACAATTCATTTTTACCTTTTTTAGTATTTTTTTTTTTTTTGAAAAAAGACGGTTATTATTTAAAATTTAAATTAAAAAAGTCAACAATTACGGTGGATCAAGTTTATTCATTTGTCGAGATTTCGGTACCTTCTTTTGCTACCATAACAAAGGAAAGTATTAAATGAATAAGTTTATTTACTGTGTATTATTTTGGTCGAATATTTTTGTCAAATATATTCTGCTTTGTTTTGCAAAGTAAAATTTATACATATCCAATAAGCCAACAATTGCATCTCACGCGTACTCATTTTCTGAGGAGCTCGATTGGAACAAGCTCGCCGACCGATTCAGATACTATGGCGTGGGGATCAGGGACGAGCATCCTCTCCACCAGGGAAGCCAATCGCGAGGGAGATGGGGAATTTGCTCCATCTAGGGCTGACGAGATCGACAATTGGGCTGAATTCGGCGAGCAGAGAGAGAGAGAGAGGGTAGAAAAAGGGGGTTTCTTCACGGATTCTCAATCACGGGCAGAATTTTCAAAAATTGAGCGTCCAAGAAGAGCTTTGTGCCCTCGGAGCCCAGAAGGCTTGAGAAAAGAGGGGATGTGGCTTAGAATCGGGTAACAGCTGCTCTAAATTAGAGAACTGGTTGAAAAGGAATGAAGAGGAAAGGCCAAGGCCCGGGGGCTCTTTCGATAGCCTACGGGAGAAGAGAGGTGTTTCCGATACAGATTTCAATAGCTGGGGGAGGAATATAGATGAGTACGTAGAGAAATCATTCCGAGACGGGTCTCTATACACGATCCATTGGGCCTGCGACCACTCGCACGACCAAGAAAAGTACGTGTAACTTGACGACTGCACTTACGAGGGTGAATGGAGAAGAGGATGAACATGGTGTTCACGGTGGATGACATGGGAGTGGCGCTGCCGCTGGATGACGGGGACGACGGGTTCGTGGCGATGACAGAGCAAGAGATGGGTTTAGGCATAAATTGGCTGAAGAGTTTTGGCGCAAAAAAGTTTACGCGAGGACCTTCGCAGGACGAGTTGGGGCTGCTACGCGTGTGGGTTTGAGGGACGGGTATACGTGATGGGCGGGCAATTGAGCTTCACCATTGGAAACTCGCAGTCAGTGGACGTGTACTGCCCCGGGACCAGTGCGTTGCTGCAGATGAAGAAGGGGTGCGTCTGGATTGAACACTGCCAATCGCTGCTCATTTTTCCACCGCGATCTGCAATATGTTGTCGTACCCATCCGCACAATTTGATTTAAAACCCAGAGCATATAAGATCAGTGTAAGTCGTCCATTTGGGTGTTATTTATTTTTGGTTAATTTGATTTAATGTTGTGCGTTACTTTGTTGATGGTTATGCTATCCTAGGGTAGAGCAACTTAATGTTCGTGCTTGATTCTTTAATGCTGTAAATTTTTAAAATGTTTTAATGGTGTCTAGCTTAAGAGGAATTAAGAGAAAGCAATATGGAACTTTTGCGTCTTACATATCTAAAATCGTCTATCTTTGAACTGGTGAAAATTCGTGGTGCCGATAATTCTAAAAATCTATGATTAGATGTCCGTGTATTTTTTATGGAATGAAATCATGCAAGAATTCGAGATTTAGATATACATTATATCTGAATACTTGACAGTACATTATAGTAATAACATGAAGTGGTCCATTTAACATTTTGGAAATGCTTTTCGATTCTCATTGTCAATATAAATTTGCATTTGCATTGTGTTTGTAGATTTATTCAAGTTTATCTTCAAGTTTTCCTTGGGCTGGTTTCTGGATATGAAATCCGAAGTTGACATAATCTCCACTAAACTTGAAGAAGCGTGTATAATAGAGTTATCCCAGGAACACATCACAAAATATTTCTGGCAAGTTAGAGGAGCACGTGAAGGTTTCATTTGATTCTTCATGGAAAGAAGTTTTGTGCGGAAAATATATAGAAGAGCGAAAATTCAGCGTTAAGGTCATTACTTCTCAGGTGGATGCTTTTATCTGTTTTCAGCTTTCCTTTTGTTTGCCAATCTAGCAAGAGTTCTAAATTCATTAAACAAATTATGTGTGAATCAGTGTCTGAGTTTGCAAATATAGATAGATTATGGAGATTTGTCCTCAGACACTAATTAAGAATGTAATAACATTTATGCTTATATGTTTGTATTTGTAGATGACATTTCTTTTGTGTTGTTAATTAACCAAATACATATCATACAAGAAATTGTGGTCTTTAACAAAAGAATGCCATGCCGCAAAGTTATTATGAGCAGGGAATAGTGGTCTTTGACAACAGAATGCTATGTTGCAAAGTCATTCTCTAAGCATATGAAGATTGAAAAACAGGTGGTGATTATTATAATTTATGAAATTATGAAATGTCGGGTTGAATTATATTGTTTGAAGTGTTAATATCCTTATTCTTATCTATGATAGAGCTGTCACAATCCATAGCCCGCCAAACCCCACCTGTTGGCGGGCGGGTCTGATAAACGCATGCCCAACCCGCGTTGCCACGGGGTGTGGGTTAGGCGGGCCATCCCCTCATGTTATTTTTTTTATCCTGCTTTATTTAATAAAAAATCCATTTTAATCCCTTCAACAGCAAAATCAGTTGACCTACTCTCCATTGTTGCTGCCTTTGTAAGCCTTTCGTCTACACTTCATCCGATTTTTTTATTGATGAGGGTGCTCTCCAGTGATGTTGGTGGCGGAGATTTTCCGGCATCCACGCAAGAAAGAAGAATGTGACGACCTTGAGAACGGTGGTTCAAACTCGAATATTCCGACTACCGCTGGAACCAACTTTTCAAACTCGAATATTCTGACTACCGTTGGAACCGACTTTTTGCCTCTTACATCCAACATCGGGAGAAGGAATTTACCTATCAAAGTTCAGTTGGTTTCGAATAAAACTGGGGGCATCAAAACTTAGAAGTTCGAAATTAAGTAGGGTGTCGATCCCCAATGGTAAAACGACGACGGTTGCATCAATTTCAAAAGAGAATGGAAAGGACCCGAGAAATAAGATATCTTACAACAAAATTTTTGTTTATGGAATTAAGTTTAATGGGTTGATAGAAATTTTGTTGTTCTGTTTGTACCTCAGTTGTTCATTAGTTTTTATTTCTATTTTTTCCAACAACAAAAAATAAAAATAGAAAATTTATCAACTCATAAATGTTTAACCTCCGGTGCGAATTAGTTTAGTTGTGTGATTTTGGTGGATCCCTATTTGATTTTGGCCGTCTTTTAAAAATATATAAACATAATAAATTTTTTTAAAGTGGGCCAGCCCACCTAGCCTCAGCCCACCCCCGCAGCCCGCGCGGGCTAGCCCGTTTAGGCCCACTCCCTAGTGGGCCTAGAAAAAATAAGCCCAACCCAACCCTTTTGCAGGCCAGGTCGCGTGCTCAGGCCATTTTTGACATCTCTGATCACTGATATAAAATGCAGATCATGTTCTTAAAGTATGATAACTGAAACATGTGACAATCTATAGTTTTACTGAACCTCGATTATAGACAATAGTTATAAGACAACATAATATGTGAAATCTTATTTACTATATAGATATAGGTCAATTTATAATATAAAATTTCAAAACTAATACATCCGACTTTGGTGTAAAGTGGATGATTTTATGGTATAGTATGGGCAATTTTATTTAAGGTATGTGATGGTCATTTTAATTTTTGGTAAAAAAAATATATATTGTTATTAATAAACCCGACTATGATATAAAGTGGGCAATTTTATGATATGGACGATTCCTATTGTAGTTATTTTGCAAAATGATTAACACCATAAATCCGCTTTCGGTATAAAGGGTTCGCTTTATATAAGTTACATAAAATCAATTCGTAATTAAGTCAAAGTCCCTTTTATGCTATGAATCATTTTTCATAATAAGCTTTACAA